AGTATGTGCCTTAAAGGCACATAGCTCCTAAACATTCTGGTGAGCTTCATAAAATTTTACTTTGGGCAAGTGTCTTTCAGTTTGTGTGGTAGCACTAATCCTAATGGTGCTGCATTACAGGAGAACTGGGCTGCACTTTAATCAAAAGTTCTCTAGTACTTATTAATTTGGGGCATTATGTAAGATATGCAACCGTAATAGAAAAATCATAGAAGACAGGGCTAAAAATGACCTTTGGAGGTTGTTTAATCCTGCTGCTGGGAGACTGGATGCTGTCAGGGCAAACACTGAGCAGCTTTACCAATGTAGAGATGTTGATGGTGTAAATTTGTGTTAGTGTAAATCCATCAGTTTGATTTTCTTATATTCAGACAAGGTATCTGAAAGGGGATGGATTGCAGTGATAACACATTTTAGTTATGAATATTAATATTGAAGTAATTAAATCAGATTACTAGGAACTGTAGGGCAGGGGGATTCTTAGCCTGTCATTGAATCTGCTCCCCAGTTAGCACAAAAACCCTTTAATAAACATACAGAGCTGTCATTTAATTACAGGAGGGTTTGGAATAGCCCTTGCACAGCCTTGTTTTTCATCTTCCATTTATTGAAAGATTATTTCATTTTCACTGTGGGATGCTCAATGTGGATTTGAATGATCAAAATTGATATGCAAGCATTATATTCCTGCATATCCCCCCTTGAATACACCTTAATGGAACATTCATTGCCACACATGAAAGGAGCACTACACATGACCTGCTGAATTCTTTGCAGGAGGAAATTTTTGGCAGTTTCCCTCATTTATGCCATAACTATTTAAAATAGGCCTATGGGGATGTGACAGCTCTCTAGATTCTGGTGACCTCCATTAGAAACGTGAATACCAAACAGAGCTGAGCCAGTGCAAGCAGAAAATGTTGATGTTGACAGGACCAAGGTGATACTTGCATGTCATGAAATCGTGTTTTTCCATTTTCTGGCTGTGAGGATGTAAGGACCGCCTGCTGCTGCTTCAGAGCAGCTTTCTGTCCAGTCTTGCATCTTCATTCCATGCTGACCATAAAATAATGGCTAGAGATCAAGGTGAACCTCCAGCATTCTCAGTATTTTCAGATTGGAGGATTTTTTTCTGCTTTCTGTGGGATGTCAGCTTGCTTATCCACTGTGCAACCAGTGTTCTCCAAAGTGAAAAGATTATATATGTTTTCCGTAAAGTGAGTAGCACCTTCTGCTTGGATAGGTTTATCTTTTAGTTAATCAAAAGGAGGTCTGTGACGTCCCTGTGCTCAGTTTCTGAAGACAACTGTTATAATCTAGAGTATTAAAAAAAAAAAAAAAAAAAAAAAAAAAAAAAAAAAAAAAAAAAAAAAAAAAAAAGCAGAAAAATGGAATTTTAGTTGTTGAAGTGAAGCACTTCTTATGCATCACGTTCAGGAGTTATACGAGTGCTTGAGGTGTTGCTTCTCCGGCTACTTCTTTACTTCAAATACTGCTCTATTTGTTAGATAAAATCCCTTCCAGCTGCTTTTTGATCTCAACATCACTTCTAAGCTATGACCCAGAACATACTTAAGCTCTTACAGTATTAATACAGATGCTGGTTTTCCCTGGTTGTTTTCTGGGCAGAGGAAGCTCAGCAGATTTGTGGTTGGAAGTTTATCTGTAGGTAGTCTACAACTCAAGTTAAGAGTCTGCAAATAAGGGAGGGTTTTTCTGTGTGCTCATAACCCTGTGTAAATGAGCAATGTAAGAGAAATCTATTTGGGGAAGGATAAAACACAAAAAGGCTTTATGACTAATGACATCAGCTAGGGATCATCTTGTTTGCAAGCCTTGTGTTTCAGAGCAGTGGTTGCCTGACACACTGTAGCATCTTCATAAGCGCTTTATTGTAAGACAACAGTAATGTTATGGAAGTGATGCTAAGCTTCTCACTGCTTTCCCTTTGGGAGACATTTGTTTTCAGCTCAGAAACTGAAGCTGAAGCTTTACTATCATAAGTTCATTCTGCTTCAGTTTTAAATTGCTTAATTGTCTGGTGAAAATTTGCCTGGAATGAGAATGGGAGTGGTATCAGGTACCCATTTTCTGGGTGGTGATTTTAAAATTTACTCTTTATTATAGAGCTCTTTGCTGGTCTCCAAGCTGATTAAGAATAGATTATGTAGTCCTACTCATAAATATTTTTAAAATTCAGCTGTTTTGTTTTTGTGAGTTTTTTTTAAAGCTTGCTGTTTGTGTTGCTGGTAACAGTGTTTCACTGTGTATTTTCAATGCCTTCATCTCTTATGTCCTTGTCTGGTTTTTCTGCTTGTTTTTTCCTCTAAGCTCATAGCACCACAGCAAAAAATATGCTAACAGGTGCTGAAATATATATACATATATACATCTAGTCTCCATGTCAAGAAGTCTCACATAAATAAGGATTTGCTAGATCAAGCCTTTGGTAGATGACCTAATTTTCTGTTTGATCAGATTACAAAAGGAGATTTAAAGAACACTTTCACACTTTAGAAGAGTTAACAGGCACAGAGGTTTCAGACTAAATCTTTAGCTGGTATGAACTGGAATTGGAAGGTTGTGAACTGACAGCAGAGTTGTGTGATTTGAAGCAGTAAAGGTCTCAGCTCTGAACTCCTAACATACAAGTGCAGAAATAAAACTGAGAAGTAATCTTTGCCAAGAGGTATCATAAGAGGAGCTAATAAATGGTAAAAATAGGGTAAAATAAATGGAAAATTGCAGAAGACCTAGAGCTGAAGAGAATCCAGAAGGGAGCTTGCATGAAGTGGGCAGAGCTGAGAAGGTGGATGTGAGCGTGGATTCCAAGCCCAAGCTAACATAGCAGTGGACTTGAACTCATAATCAGTGAGTTTAAAGAGGGCCAGTGACAATGAAAGTTCCTGCTTCATTCCCTCCAAAAAGATGGCTCCGCAGAAAACAATTTTCTGTAGAAAACAGCTGAGAGATTAGACAAAATTTGCTGGGAGCTATTACCTATGCTAATGGCCATAATGGTGAGGGAGCTTCTGCACACCTCCCAGGCATGCTGCTGCTGGGAAGGAAGCTGATTTGATGGGAGGGACCCTGTCGTATACAGTTAATTGAATAAGCTGTTCATCTAAGTGCTCATTTGAGCTAGGCTCAGCGACTCTCCAGAGATGCACCCATCACTAGCTATGAACATCC